TAGGATAAAGGTTGGGCAGAAGATGGAGCTGAACTTGATGTGCTAATTGAGGTTCCCCATAATTCATATTGTTTCCCTTCTCTATGAAGTAGCCTGTCAGCTGGCTTACTTTTAAACACTAGTCAACTGGTCTTAGACTGATATACCTATGCTCAGAAATCACGTGAGATACTTGGGGACCATTTCAAGTTACCGGTCAGTCTGGTAACTTGAAAAGTTAATAAAGCTTCTATCTCTAGCACCCACCCACACTTGTCCAAGCATGCTTTTCTGCATTTTAAGATGGTTTTCCTACTAGCTATGATGTTGGACAGGAGGAAAAACAAAAACAGGAGAATCTACTAATAGTTGCCCTTAAATTATCCTGCAGTAAAGCTGTAAGGACAAGTGCTTGAAAGAGACACATTTGGGAAGTACAAGTTAAGGAAACATAGCCTTCTGCCCAGCTCAAGAATTTGAGGAACACATATTAACATGATCATGAAGAAGAGCCCTCAGAAGGGAAATTAAACAATAATTCCCTCCTTGGATTCTAAACATAGAATGGATGCGGGAATTATTACAAACCAGAGATGCATTTTTGCTGCAAATCTCTGCTATACCCATCTTGGCTGCATTCCTTAAGAATATGTGAGAGTGTACAATTATAAACTGAGCCAAACAAAACATTAGTCTCTGCAAATAATTGTTTCAGGCCTAATTGGTCTGCTATGTTTCTGCTTGTTTGTTTTTAAATGCAGATATGCATTTGTAAAGTGAAAGTGCTTTCCACTACCACAGGGATCTTTGTGACTACAGCCTGGAGAAAGAACATGAAGGTTACTCCTTGGTGAACCATAGATGAATCAGTTATCCATAATTAATCTGAACTCTAGTTATATTGTCTCTATGTATCCATTTTGTCTTAATTCAACTAATTTAAAATTGACTGAAATGAATGTACATATTTTGAAATAAGCCGATTTCATTAGAATTAAATCCTAAACTGGTTGTTATGCTTGAATGCAGCCAGACCTGTATGAGCTTATTGTATGTGGTGTACATTTGTTATCTAAACATAACTTCTTCCCCTTTAGGACCATTAAATGCAGACTCTGATATTACCTAATGGTGGCATGAAGCACATCAGTTCTAATCACTTTACATAAAACTTATTTACTTCTACTGATGTATGCTACTATGGGCTATGACAGGTCTTCTATATACAGAAATATATAAAAATGAAGATGTATGTAAAAATGTGTTCATCATTTCAATGAATAACTGCATAATGAATAAATAAAACATTAGTTTAATGTTGCTTTAAGAGGAAAACTGCTTGCCAAATTTGCTTGCCATTATAATCTTACTGAAAACTATAACATAATGAACTAGTATATAATTTGAAGTATATCCCTGAAAATACATTAAAAAATACCATCACCACTGTCAAGACATAGTATTTATGTTCTTTAGAACACATCTCTTGCAGATTAAGTTTGATAGCACAGTATGTTGATAGCTATTCCATTAAACAGAGATCAGAAATTAGCAAATCCATTTAGCTAAAGTGCCACAATTGCTATTGGTACATAAATCACTTTAATTCATCATTAAACACATTTGTAAAATTATTTTCCCTTAAACCATAATGGTGTAATCAGTAGGCAAAAATATGACATACTGGGGCAGAAGGGAAGCGGAAGAGGGGATTTCACAAACATTAAAATATAATTGTGTGCAAATTATAGGTAGCTCACAATTTATGACTGATTGCTTAGTGACCATTTGAAGTTACAATGGAGGCAAAAAGGTACTTATGACCCAGATTCAAAGTTCTAGTGGCTGCTACTCCTGCGTTCAAGTGATCACATTTTGAGCATCAGCAACCAGCCCGTATTTATGACCTTCTACAGCATCCTGGAGTCACATGACCACAATTTACAATGCTTTTTTTTTTACCAGAAATCTGTGTGTTTACTCCAAATTTCTGGCAAAATCACCCATTGCAGATAATGGTTTTGCTTAATGACTGTGGATTCACTTAATGACCATGACGATTCACTTAACAACTGTTACAAAATGTGTTGAAAAATTGAGTCAGTCACATGATCTGCTTAATGACCGGCATAGCATACAAGTGTAAATTCTGGCTCAATTATGGTTATAACTCAAAGACCACTGTAGTGTCTATTTGTCTGATTTCCACAAACTCTTCTGCTGTGTAGTTTGTTGAGATGAAGCACACACAAAAAAGGCATAGTCTGTGGTTAGTTGATTGATAATTGACAATTGATAATCACAAGATCAATTATCGGTATGAAACAATTACAGTAGAACATGAAGATTTCTTTTTAACCATAATGCAGTTATTACCACAAGATGTCAGCCTAACATAAAGAATAGAGAAATAAAAGTCCTGGTGATAAAGCTAGAGGAATAAAATACAACACATTTTAAAACAGTAATTTGCTTTAGAATATTTCAGGTTGTATGTATCTTGATTACCATCAATTTAAGCAATGTATGATTGCTTAGTGTGATTAGGAAAGAATGGAAAGAAAGATATAATCAGAGAAATATAAATGTTTAAGAGTTTTGATACAAAGTTGAGCTACTATATGTACAAAAGGACAGAGGTCCCCAACCTTTTGACACCAGGGACCGGTTATGTGGAGGGAGATTTTTCTGCGGACCGGAGGGGGTGTGGTTTTGTGTGCTGCCTGCAACCTGTGGATGGGGCTTTCCTTGTTTGTGCAGACCAGTTGCTGGCATGCTGTGGCCCGGTACTAGTCCACGGACTGGGGGTTGGGGACCCCTGCAACAGGAAACAATATTTTGACAGCCTCAGCTGGGGAATGAAGCATTCATATGGTGGTGGTGGGGGGTGTTCTATGAATATGGTTTTATTCTAGATGAAACTTGGCTCAAAAACAGTAACTGTGAGAGGGACCTTGAAGTCCTAGTGGAGACTACTTGAATATGAGCCAGCAATATGCAGCAGCAGCCAAAAAAGCTAATACAATCCTGGGTTGTATAAACAGAGGCATAGAATCAAGATCACGTGAAGTATTAGTACTGTTTTATAAAACCCTAGTAAGACCACACCTGGAATACTGTAACCAATTTTGGTCACCATACTGCAAAAAAGATGTTGAGACTTTGGAAAAAGTTCGGAGATCAACTAAAATGATCAAAGGCCTAGAGAGACTAAAACATATGAAGAACGGCTGCAGGACTTGGGTTTGGCTAGTCTAAAGAAAAGAAGATATAGGGGTGACCTGATAGCAGTATTTGAGGGGCTGCCACAAAGAAGAGGGGGTCAAATTATTCTCCAAAGTACCAGAGGGCAGGATAAGAGACAATGGTTGGAAACTGATCAAAGATAGAAGCAACCTGGAATTAACAGTAAGGACAATTAACCAATGGAACAGTTTGCCTTCAGAAATCGTGGGTACTCCATCAATGGAAGTTTTTAAGAAGAGACTAGACAGTCACTTGTCTGAAATGATATAGGCTCTCCTGCTTGAGCAGAGGGCTGGATTAGAAAACCTCCAAAGTCCCTTCTAACTCTTTTCTATTCTAGGCATATATAATGTGGGTTTTTTAGAAAAAAAAATATTTTATAGCCATTTGTATAATAGTGAGTAGCAAACAAATTTGTAATATGTTATAACTATTTCTTGTTAGATTGTGGGATGGTATTATGAATACAACAGTAAAGAAACTTTAAAAAACACAAGGAAAATTTAAAGATTTCTAGCAAGTTTTTTCTAAGTATTAAACAAAAATTGCAATATTGAAAATATACATATAAAAAGTATGCAATTTTGAGAGGAAAAACAGAAGGCTGTGTATATTCTTTAATGAAAGGTGGGACATGTATCTAATAAAAAGTTATGGAATGTGAATGGAATTTGAAAATTTATGTCTAATGATTTTTGAAATAAAAAAAATTGGTAGTACTGTGCTACCATATTAATTTAAGAAAATTCCACCATCCAACTTCAAATTATTAAGTTGAAATTTTATGCATGATTGTATCTTTCCAAAAACTATATTAAAACTCCCCAAAAGTGATTGGGAAAAATCACCTTTACCTTAAAAAAAAATGTTGCGTGCGCACAGAAAACTATTTTGACATCTAGAACCACATTTGAATTGGGGGTGAAAAATGACAAAAATCATCTTGCAATACAATAATTGGGTGATCATTTTTCTAATTGTGACACACCAGAATGGAAACAAAAGTTAGATAAGTATGTCAGAAATTGTGACAGAAATAGTGACATATTTAAATTTAAAGTCTGGACTTGAAACTGTTTCAGCTAGTCTTTATTCTATTTGTAAAACAAAACTGGAATTCTGTAATCTACACCATTGATCCTTCTTACCTAATATTATGGAGAACCAAATAAAATATTGTTCATCCTCACCTAATTAAGCAATCGGCATAATAAGAATATATTGGCTACGTATTTCGGCTTGAAGATGGAATTTGTCCCTTATTTTTTCCAACATGATTTTATTCAAGAAAGGGATAACGTGTATTTTTCCAGAAACCAAGGTATTGCAACAACTAGCTTAAACCCAGCATTTCAACTCGGCCAGAAGTTTTGACATTTAAATGCATTTGTCATCGGCTCTGTTCATCAGATCAGAACTTGCAACTAGGGTAGAAAAGAGGGAACTTTTAACTTTTTTGCCACTGCAGCTTTCAGGAACATGATAATGGCTGACAAGAGCATTTCTTTTCCGTGGTGCCTGAAATAATTCCCCTAATACTGCACTAAACTGCCAGAAGAGCCAGAAACAGATCGGCGCACCAGAAGACATCCCCCCCCCCCCCAACAACAAAGCATAACTCTGAGCTATTGTCGGGGCATCGCCTAGCAACTGCCCCGCCCACTTCCAAACAACGAAACAATCGTGGAGGCTGCTGTGGCCGCCGCCGCCGCGGCGACCGTGCGCATGCTCCAAAAGGCAAACCCGGGGTGGGCGAAATCCCGTTTCCCCTTCCGGCTGATGGTTCCCTCTGTCTACCGGCTCCTGTCAGGATGGGGGCAGTGAGGAAAGAGCGGTTGCGCTTGTTGTGGGCAACAGGTACGATTGCCGCGGATGAGCTTTGAGAAGGCGAGGGCAAGTGTCCCGGCCGGTGAAGAGTTGGCCGGAGCGCAGGCAATGTCTAAAGCTGCTGAAGAGGGCTGGGGTGGTGGTGGTGGTTTGTAGGGGGGGGGGAGGTGTGAGGAGGCGCCGGAAAATGCGAGGGGGGAGTTGCGAAGAGGAATGGGAGGAAGAAAGCCCCCCCCTCCGCCCTTCCGCCACCTCTCTTGGAAAAGGAGGCAAAGGGACGAGGAAATGGCCCCGAGCATCGGTTGATGCTGCAGGAAGCGGATTGAAGGCGGGGGGGGGGGGGTGGAGGGGAGAAACGAGTACAACTCTGAATAAAACGGATCTGCCGCGGAAGTCCGGAGCCTCAAGTGGAAGTCAGAACAGGGCCCCGGGGGATGGGTGTGTTGGCCCCCTTTGGGGTATAGGACTCTCCCCCCCCCCTTCAAATAATAAGATGTCCGAAGGGATCCGCGTGCGTGGTTGTAAATACTGGCAAACAAGCCCTGGACTTAGCTTTCTTTTTTTTCCTCTCCCTCTCCCTCTCGAATGGATTACTTTTTAGGCCAGTGTTTCTCAACCTTGACCATTTTAAGGCATGTGGACTTCAATTCCCAGAATTCCACAGCCAGCAATGCTGGCTGTGGAATTCTGGGAGTTGAAGTCCACATGCCTTAAAATGGTCAAGGTTGAGAAACACTGTTTTAGGCGAACTATCTATCCCTTTTTTGGGGGACAGGCAGCTGTCTCTCTCTGCCGTTTGGGTTGAGAGAGATGGAGAGGGATTGAGGCTCCGGCCTGAGGCTCCGGCCACCGGTCTGAAAGAAAAAAGCTGCTTGCATCTTGCTGCTTGTTCAAAGAAGCAGGGAGCCAACTTTCTCCCTAAAAATCCTAAATTAAAAGAAGGCTGTTTTGAAATATGCAGGTGGTCCTTGACTTGCGACCACAATCGAGCCCAACATTTTCGTTGTTAAGTGAGGCATTGGTTAAGTGAGTTTTGCTCCATTTTACGATCTTTCTTTCTTGCCACCGTTGTTGAGTGAATCCCTGCAGTTGATAACTTAGTAACCCGGTTGTTAAGGGAATCTGGCTTCCCCATTGATTTTGCTTGACGAAAGGTCGCAAAAGGGGGATCACATGACCTTGGGACACAGCAGTGGTCATAAGTATGAACCAGTTGCTAAGCATCTGAATTTTGATCACATGACCACGAGGCTGCTACAAAGGTCGTAAGTGTGGAAAATGGTCATAGTTACTTTTTTCAGTGCCGTTGTAACATTGAACGGTCACTAAACGAACTGTTGTAAGTCGAGGACTACCTTATGAGAAGTTAAGGGAATTGGAGGAAAATTGTTCCTGTGGCATTTTGGAGTAGAGCTGGCTTGGGAAGAAAATGAATGTGTAGGCTTTAGTGTATATGAGATAAGACACATTATATTCTACTTTTTTCTTCTGCCAACTTTTTCTTCCAGCATTTACTACCTTTATACTTGCCATAGAGGCATTGTTTGTGGAAGACTTAGATGAATCGTAAGTATGTAGCATTTACACAAATTACGAATTTAGAGATTCGTTACAAGTTATGGTCATTGTGGCTCTTTTGAAACAAATACAATGGAATTAGTGCAATTAGTTATTTCTTCAAAAGAAAAAAAAACAACCCTTCCTTTTGGTCTATAAACAAATTTCAAAAGTTTTAAATCAGAAGCTTAAGACTTTGCAGGAGTCACAGTTTTAGTCAGAAATCTAAAAATTCCAACACATGAGACTTGACAGATTTTATTTTAATAGCAGCTCCATAAACAAGATCTCAAAAATAATATCATTCCTGTATTGGGTAGAGAATTTGAATAAATATTCTATAAGGTCCCGTTGCACCATGTTATTCTATATTTCTATTATTGACCCAGGATGTGGCACTGAGATTGTTTGGTTCTCTTGGTGGATAGCCTATTCCTAAAACTAGATGTGGGAAGTGCTACCCATTTTATTTTTAAGATTATCTTTTTCTGTTTTACATTCACAATAGTGAGGGAAAACCAAGTTCTATAATATGTCTAACTCTTTAGGAATAATATGATTTGTATACAGTCTGTTCATTTCATGTTATTTATATTGTTGCATAGTGCCTACTGAATTGTAGTTATGTATTAGGGTTATAATCCATATTACACAGTAAGCTTGAAAGAGATCATTTTCAGTGCACAGGAATGGAAAAAAAGCAAAGTGAAATGGTTGTGAGGCCTGCTGAAAACTTTGAAAGCAGCATGCAAGCCTGGAAAAAGACATAGCTGCTTTAATTATTTGCCGAGAGATGCTTTGCCCATCAAATTTTCCAGAAAATGTTCATAGCTGTAAAGTACACAAAATGACATTCTAATCAATACCAAATTCTGTGAAATCTTTGTGTTTAAAAAGGTGATTTCTCACTCATCATTTTGTTATGACCTAATGTAAATATCTAGACAAATATCTAAATTTAGTAAGAATGTTTATTGGTTATGCATCTTTTATAGGTTTAAAGAGAAACGTAAAGATGACATTTGGCTTGTTGATGTGAGTAACAGAGTTGTTAAACCTTTTAAATATAATTTGCTTTATTTTTTTTTTTATAGTTCTTCTGTGATTAGCCTATCCTTTTACAAAAGCAGAACATTCAATTAACAATAAAAACTCCTTTCAATGAAACTCAACTCTTAATGGCTCATAGTCATGTTCATGTAGTTTTCTTTGGCAAATATGGAAGTGATTGGCTGTTCCTTTATTAATCTTATAAATGCAGTACAATTATTCTGATTAAGAGTTGATTTTATAAATCAAGAGATCTGATATAGATTAGCACTGTAGTGTTACATGTGAAGCAGTGGTTTAGAAGTCATTGTTGGAAGATCTGATATACTATTGTTAAGTATTTATTATATACTTTCCATACTGAGATGATCTATGGATTGTCTGTTTACATTTACAACTTTACTTTGCATATGTATTATCTTGCGTAGTAAGATCAAGTATCTTGCTACTGCACTTCAAAAAAAAAGTATTAGTAGTGTCCTTCTAACAAAAAGCATTTTTAAAGGAACAAATAGGAAACTGCCATTCTTTATTTGTAGGTTAAATTCTGAATGGTTATGGTTTGTTCATAGTTCTATGCACCTTGGTGCGGCCATTGCAAGAAATTGGAGCCAGTGTGGAATGAAGTTGGTAAAGAGATGGGAAGTATTGGGTCTCCAGTAAAGGTTGGCAAGATGGATGCAACTTCTTATTCTAGTAAGTTTACTGCCAATGTATTCCCATGTTGTATAATTTATAATTTTGGAAACTAACAAAAGCTCAATTAGTTATCGCTCCAAAGTATTGGTAATTAAAAACTTAGTGCAGCATATTAATTGTCTAAATCAGTTACTCAGTAAAACAATACTTTTTAAGTTTATAATTCCTGTTCTGTATTATAGTTGCTTCCTATACTACTAAATCAGTTACTCAGTAAAAGAATACTTTTTAAGTTTATAATTCCTGTTCTGTATTATAGTTGCTTCCTGTACTAGTATAGTTTGGAATATATGAATTTGTCAAAGAAAAATCACATGCTCAAATTTTTCATTTTTACCTGTTTTATTTTGCTTCCTTTGGTAGGCATTGCCTCTGAATTTGGAGTTCGAGGCTATCCAACAATTAAACTGTAAGTTGAATATTGTGCTTCCTGTATTACAATATGTGTGCTTTATAATGTCTCACTTTGTTTCTTAGAAAAAGCTTTGCAAATTTGTAATAAAACTTAAGCCAATCTTTCAGGGTTTTTTTTTTTTTGCATTAGCTAAAAGGAAACTGAAACTTTATGAAGAGTCATTTCTCTTTACTGTTCCTAAAGTATGTTTTTAAATAATATTGCTACACTAAGGTTATCCCTTATAATTGAATTCCATATGCAGTGCTTTTATTGGTTATTATGAAGTCTAAAAAAATCTAGCATTAAATGTATTCACTGGTTTCATGTCTATTTATTTAGCTTGAAGGGTGACTTGGCATACAATTACAGAGGACCAAGAACCAAAGATGATATTATTGAGTTTGCAAATAGAGTTGCAGGGTAAGTATTTATGGGCTCAGTCCTGTCTAGCATGTAAAATAAAGAGCTGCATTGGAAAATACTGGGGGAAAAAAACATTGGGAGTATGTCAGATCATGCAACCAAACTGGCTCAGTATTATAATTAAAAGGCAACCTTTTTAATTTTTCACATTTGTATGATTCCTTGGGCATTTGGAACAGTAGTTTTCTCCACTGCAATCCCACATTTCCCTAGTTTTATTTAATAGCCCTTTGCATTCATTTTCTTGTATAGCTCTTAATGTTCTGGAGCAGAGGTCCCCAACCTTTTTGACATCAGAGACCGGTTTCATGGAAGACAATTTTTCCATGGACCTGGGGTTGGGGGGGGGGGAGGTTTCAGATGATTCATTATATTTATTCTAAATTTTCTAAATAAACAATCAAATGAATAATGCACTTTATTTATATTATTATTACTACATTGTATTAGATTAGACCAGTGACTTTCTGCTTCTAAGAAAGTGGGAAGGAAAAGAGACAATCCTAAACTCAGCCTTCCAGCAAAACAAACCAAAGACCCAGCACGTTGAGGAAGTGCTGAGAAAACCATTCAAAAAGAGAGGGAGAGAGGGAAGGAGGGAGGGCGGGCAGGGGAGAGGGAGGGAGGGCACTGCGCAAGCCCAGCAGCCTTGGAAAAGGTGCAGATGAGAGAGGTATTCCCTTGAAGACACAGTGCTTAAGGGGAAATGTAGCTTCTCCCCTCTCCCCTTCCTCATTGCAAGCGGGTAGGAGCACGCTTGGCTTGCAAACTTGAAAGCTGCACGAAGAAAGCGTAAACACACACACACACACACCAAATTAAACCACGAAAAGCAGGCAGGAAATTGCCAAAACATGAGGCACCTGCAGCAGCATCAAAATAAAAGCAAAAAACTCAGAGTGCAAATGACAGATTCCCTTGAAGATTCAGTGCTTAAAGTGAAAGGTAGCTTCTCCTTGCCCCTATTTACACCCTGAAAAAGCACCCTCACAAGCACATACCTTGGGGAGAATCCCCCTCCAATGAGGTTTTGGGGAATCCCCCATTGTATGCTGGGCTGGCGCACACTTGCCTTGCAAACTTGGAGACTTGCGCGAAGGGCGCACGAGCCCAGCTGGGGTGCTGGGAGGGGGAGAGGAGGAAAGTGAGGAAGAAAAAGCAGCAGGAGAGAGAGGAAGCAGGAAGAGGAGGAGGAGGAGGAGGAGGAGGAGGAGGAGGCAGAAGAAGAGAGAGCACAAGAAGCAGAACTCTGAGCTTAAATGTTGCAAGCCAGTTGCAAGCGCAGCCACTGGAGAACCTTTGCACTGAACAAGCCGGCTTCTGCCCTGCCAATCTCCCGCCCCTGCCCAGACCCCTGCAGACTCTCCGCATGCCTCCAACTGTGTGACCTGGTTCCTAACTGGCTGCGGCCCCGAGGGGTTGGGGACCCCTGTTCTGGAGTACAAACTGTTCATGGTGGAAGCCAATCCTTTTTATATAATTGTAACTGTGATTAAACATAAGGATTTGAGAACTTAAAGCAACTATTACATGCATTAGTTATTTCAATGACTGTTTGTGGTTATAAATGAAAATGAAAGGTTATTGTTGCCATTTAGAATAGTTTAATTAACCTCTTTGGGATATGAAAGATTTAAAAAATAAGATTCAAAGAAATAAATAATCCATTGAGTATGACAAACAGAATATTAGTTTAAAGCTTTAAAATATGCTATATTCAGTATTAATGTATCTGAATCCATTTCCATTACAATGATGTGTTTACTCATAGAACTTTTAAAATGATGGTAGCAATTACTGTTCTAACATAGTTGAAAGCAAACTTTAAAAACTTTTGCCTTTTTCTTTAAAAAAATATTCTAATGGGCAGTAGTGTGATGAAATTGCATAACTAAATCTTCAAATGTTTTTATGTTGCCTTTAATAATGATGCAGTTGTAAAAGATAGTTACTGTGGTAAAATAGGATAGGATGATGAAATATTTGCTAATAACTTCTAGATTCTGGACTGCAATGAGTTCTGGTAAGATTTTATTTTCAAAGCTAGTCTTTTGGTTCTGTAACCACAGAATAGTTTGATAGTTTTCACAAAGTGTACTATAAGTGCTGATAACTGCTGAGCATTGTCCCTTGATAATGAAAATGTTTTGCTTTTAAATGTAAATATTAACAGCATCTTTAAGCATATGAAGTTAACACTGTGTTTCTCTGCCCACCCCTTCATATATACATGCATTTTAATTGTCATGGGAGTCTTCATCAAGCTTTAAATAATACAGTTTAAAAAAATTAAAACCTTATCAGTTTTAGGATAATTATGTTATTCAAAGTGGGGTTGTTGGGAATCCTTATCCTCTGAAATATAAAAGAACTCTAGGAATAGCACAGGGGTCTTCAAACATGGCCCTTTTATGACTCGTGGACTTCAACTCTTGTTGGCTGAGGAATTCTGGGAGTTGAAATCCACAAGTCGTAAAAGGGCCAAATTTGAAGACCCCTGGAATAGCATTTAAGAAGCAGTTCATTGCCTTTTACTATTGATGTTGATCTTTTGTTGTTTTCCCTATCTTTAATCTGCAGGCCTATTATTCGAAATCTCCCTAGCCAACATATGTTTGAGCATGTTCAAAAAAGACATCGCATATTTTTTCTGTACATTGGTGGGGAATCTCCATTAAAGGTCTGAAACACTGATAACCACAAATATTTGTTTTGTTCATTTTACATGTAGTTTATGGGTTTTAATATCTATCTCCTAATAAAGTTCTGTATTGCAGAACTTTGCAAACTGGTAGAAATCTACTTACAACAGCAACGTCAAAGGGACTATGTTCCATTTAACTGGATAGAAATCATGAAACTGGGGTAATACTTGAACAGCCACATTCAGAATTCCACATTCTTTTTCTTTTAACTTCTAGAAAAAGGCCACTATAGAGTTAATGACTTGGAAAAATTAAAATGGGCTGGCAGTTTGTGATATGCAATTCACACTATGGAAATGCAAGGAAAAAAAGGAAATGCTGTGGTTTCCTGTAGTATTTATAATAATATTGAAATGGGGAAGTGGAGCTATCTTATTGCTATACTGAGATACAATAAATGTCAGTAATATAAGATGAAAGAATTAACATAAGATTGTTTTTGCTTAATATACCAGAAAGTTGGATAGAAAAAGGATGTGTTTTTTGATTTAGCAAAAGAATGGGGAGATATATAAAAGATATATTTATCTGTGATCGCTTGCAAATAATTCTATAGTTGGAGTGGCAAAAGACTTGCATTAGTTGAAACATGAAATTGAACTAAAATAGTAACTTGCTCTGTTACCAAAAAAAGCTTATGAATAAACAAGAAACGCATTAAAACTACCCATTTGTATTTTCACAGGAAAGATACATAGAAGTTGCTTCCGAACTAATTGTTTATACATACTTTTTTTCTGCCTCAGAAGAGATACTACCTGAGGTAAAATAATAACAATTATGATGATGTATCTGATTGAATACTTACTTACTTGAGAAATACCTCTTATCCATTGATAATATACCCCTTACTATTGATAGTAGTTTTAATGAATGCCAGGTAGAGTAAGCATTTAAACCTCCCACTATTAACTCAGCCATTGATTGTCTGTTTTTTATGATAGAACCTAAACTTTCTTCATTGGCTGTTGAGTTTACATATTATGTTAAATTCTAATTTATTTTTACATTGGTTTGTTCTAATTGTGGTATTGATGGTGGTTATGCAACACTCAGCCACAGTGGTTGGTTTATATTGCTCTTAGTCAAATCGCATTCATGATTAGTGCAACCTGTGAATCCAGGTTAGGTAAATGAAAATATTACAATTAGAGAGTTGAATTATACATTTAAAACTTAGGTCTCTCTTTTTCTTAGAACAGTAAAGGATGAGGAGTGCAAATGAGCTTTGTCTTTGCACATAGGGTTATTATGAAAGTATTGGGAATTATATCCTTGTTGCTAACTGGCAACCCAATAATTTATGTTTATGTCTGAATGTAAGTGAATAGTCCAGCCAACATTGCCTGCATGATCAGTTTAGTTTTAAAATAGTAGCCTTATTTTATTGAATAGATGGACATTTCGCAGAACAATACAATACAGAAAAACAACTTTCACTGAGAAAAAAAAACTACTCAAAATTTAAAATACCAAATTAAACAAAGGTGCCAATTTTTTTTTTAGAAAGTTGAAAAAGTGGCAGACTAATCTTAATCATTGAAGGAGAACTTTCTTCAGTTTGGAAGTAATGTAAGCAAATGACCTTTTGTCTGAATTAGAGAAATAGCTCTCTATGAAAAATAAATATCCTCAAAGGGCCTTCCTGCAGATCTTACTAACTGTGTAGGCTCACGAGACAAGTCATTTCTGAGCCAGGCTTTCAGCAGTTCATTATTTTAAAGGTGAAGAACAGCTTAAATTAAGCCTGGAAAACAATTCATCTTTATTACCACCTCCCCAAAGAAATATTTTACAATCTAACTTAAGTATCTCTGACTGCTTTCTGCTTTTTATGTTTTTCTTACAAACTAGGGGAAAAAAAATCTATGTTTTACATTGCTAATTTATGTGAATGCAAGCACTTTACCTTTAATCATGACCTTAGTAAGAACAGGACAATATTCTTATATTCGTGCAAGTTAAATTATAGCCCCTTCACATATACTTGATTATTACAGATTATATAAAGACATGGTACATCTTCATTAAAAGCATTTTCTCTATTTATATTTTGATGTGGCAAATTAAAAAGGACATCCTGTCACAAAGATGATTAATATAAGCAGCAAAGAACTGTTATTGTTTTGTTTGAAAGCACAGCTGAATTGTTTCTGTTTAAAGTATTTATAGTGACTTTAGTATACCCCGAGGCTTTATTATATGAGGAGAAGTTATGAAACCTGATTCAGACTCAAGGGATCATCGTAGCTCTTCATTGCTCGAGAGATCATTCTGCCTTGGGTTCTGGTAGTTTTTGTTATCTTCAGAGTTTGAAAATGAAAAATTGGGATAAGAAAAAGAATTGAGATGCAAATTTCCAAATTTGATAAAAGATCCAAACGTACTTTTCTTCAGAATTTCTTTCTATTAAGAGCAACTTATTAAACATGACATTTAAACATCTTTTTAAATAGTTATGCATAAACTAGTTTCTTTGCTTAATTTAGTACTGGAAAAATGTAAGCAAAATATTTATGAATTGAATTGTCTTTTTAAAAGGCACATCTGGGTCTTCTTTCATGGTACATTGCAAATATATATTTTTTTTAATTCCTTTTTTCCTCTGTTATAAAATCAGCCTAGTTTTTCCTTGATTCAAGAGAGGAAGAAGGAAAAGAAGGGACACAGACGATAACATAATTTTTATCATTAATTGCTTGGTTTGTTTTTTTTTTTAAAGTAGTGACTTTATGTATATAATATCCATAATTTAACTAAGAATACTTTTAAAAGATTAATAAGGGAAGAAAAACAGCTGTCAGAAATGTATGTTTAATATATGTTTTAAAATCTATTATAACTATTTATGAATTAAAAATAAAGTATTTTGCCAGGCATCAAGGAAATGATCAGGTGCTCAGGCAGTTGGTTCTTTGGGAGATAATAAGCACACCACTAAATAAAGGCATTTTAAGCTTGATTATTAGCTCAAGCAAACAGAATTAAAAATATAACATAAAAGCATGCATACCAAGCAAGATAATACCCAAATACCTTAAAAGCTGCCAGGAGCTCCTTAATAATGACAGCAGAGATACCACAACTGGGGGGGGGGGGGGGCAATTTGTCAACAGTACCCAGAAATGGGTTCCTTTGCAGGAGCTCTCCCATAACAATAACCCCGTAGTTTTTATCAAAACGGGCACCATGACTTCATGGCCCTGCTAAGGTCAGGAGACTGCCAGATCTGACCTTGATTGGATGTCTCATGACTCTGGGATGGGAACTGAAAGTCTGAGACTTTCACAGAGGGCAAAACTTTGAAACTATGTGAAGATTCCTCACTCTTCTCTTTCAGCAAGCGAGAGAGAGAAACAAGCAGGCTAACTCAGAAGAAATTTTAAACTTCTAGACTTTTCATAATATGATGGAGAAATAAAAATATGTCTCTAAGTCCTCGAAATAACAATGGTTCTTTCACACTGTCACTAGATAAAGTCAACTCAGGGTTTCTTTAAAAAATTTAGCTGACAAAGTAAAGATTTCAGAGAGACTACTTCTATTGCCACGTTTCTTTACTAAAGTATTAATAACTGGGGAATGAAGTTAAAAATCAATAAGTATAGTTATGTATAGAAAAACATAGACTCTGAATGTGTAAAGACAATTTGTCATTAAACTATTCTGCTTTTTTTTTACCAATTTTTTCAGCATATGACACTCCCTGAGATACCAGCTGTTCTAGTCTTAAAAGATGGAACTTACTTTGTGTATGATGGTAAGTTCACCGGGTCTTATCATAGATAGATGTTTATGGATCTTAACGTTTGTATCCACAGTTATCTTTTTTTCTTTTTCAAAAACGAGCTTGTTTATTTGGCACTACACTGTCCTTTCATATTTAAAAAGATTCAGAAGCAGTGCAATGTTAGGTTAGATTATTTGTGGATTACCTGAGAATTGCTAATATATGTGTGTGTAGGTTGCAGCAGGCTGGTGTGTGCTAAGCAGGTCAGGTGAAGTTAGTACTTGAATAGACACCAGGAAATGTATGCCATGCTGAGAAATAAAACAAAATCTTGAATTGCTGCAGTAGAACAATGTGCCTGGTTTGGTGCATATTGACCAGTTTGGTTCCGTTAAAAAAGTTCACTTAATGACTGTGGCATTTGCTTAATGATCGCCAGACTGCTTAATGATCGCTACAAAAAAAAAGGTGTTCAGATTCTTAGTATATTTCAGCCATTTATTAGAGTCTTGGGGGGGGGGAGGAAAAAGTAGGATATTTTACTCTGTATGTGATCAAGTGTGTCTCTTCTTTATGGGAATGTGTAGTCCGGCATGGGGGAGGGGGGCTGCTCTTCCTCATAAGAATGAGGACTGACAGTTTGGAATGAGGGGTTGACCTGCAGGCTACATTTGCAATATTGCTTTACATTCTTCACTCCAAAATGATTAGTGACAGTTTGAAATCTTGCAAATTTTGACAGCACCAGCAATTTCCAGTAAGCCAGTCCATATCTCACTTTCACTGGTGGAGCACAAAGCTTTGAACTGTTGTAAATGGCCTTTATGTGCTTCTAATATATACAGTTGAACTTAGCAGGTAACTCTTGATTAAGTATATCTTTTTCATTTTTCTTACTTTCTCCCTTTTCCCCCATAAAGAGTATGTAGATGGTGATTTGTCAGCCTGGATAAATAGGGAAAGATTTCAAGGGTACCTTAATATAGATGGATTTACACTCTATGAGCTTGGAGACACAGGTAAGATGAGAATCTAGTTGTTCGCAGATCTGTTTTTGATTATCTTTTCCAGGATCTTCCCAGATATTAATGTTAGACTGATTGGTCTGTAGTTTCCTGGTCTGTTTCTTTTTCTTAAATCTAAGAAATATTTTTCTATGTGGGCTTACCAGTGGTAATTGCGACCAGAAACCATGCCACTACACAATGCAGTGATAAATAAAGTTTGGATTTTTTTATTGTTAATTTTAATCTGTAATTTTAAATTTTTACATTTTGTTTTTTAAATTTTTTTATTGACTATCTTGATTGCTGATGTAAAAATAATGATAGAATATAAATCAAAACAAATTTGCATTATGCATCTCACTTTATTTTAGGAAAACTTGTGGCTATTGCAGTTATTGATGATAAAAATGCTTCTGCAGATCATGCAAGGTAGGTCCAGGGGTTTTGTCTTAAAATATGAATTATTATTTTAAAACTGATGTTGAACTCTAAAAAAAATTGAGTTTGTGTAGCAATAGCAATAGCACTTAGACTTATATGCTGCTCCATAGTGTTTTATAACACTCTCTGGGCGGTTTACAAGTATCAGCATATTGTCCCCAACAATCTGGGCCTACATGTTACCGATTTTGGAAGGATGGAAGGATTGGTCAATCTTGAGCCCCATCAAGATTGAACTCCAGGCTGCGGGCAGAGTTAGCCTATTCCTACTGCATTCTAATCACTGTGCCACCTGGGTTCCTGGTATATAATATTCATAATTTAACTATCATAATAAGAATACTTTAAAATATAAATAACAAAATAGGTAGTTCTTGACTTAAAACCATTTGTTCACCAACCGTTTGAACTTATGGCAGTGCTAAGCGAAAGGATTTACAACCCGTTCCTGAAGTTATGGCTGTTGCAGCGGCCCCATTTTCACATGATTAAAATTTGGGCACTTAGCAACTTGCCCAAACTTAAGACCACAGGGGTGCTGCAATTCTCCCCACCCACCTACCAACCTCTGCCCTTTTCAAAGGGCAGTTGGAGGGCCAGCCGAACCGAATCCGCTCGAACACAGGTAAAGATACATCTTAGATCTTACCTAGTGGCGCTGAGGGAGGCTAGGACTAACTACTATGCCTCACTCATCGCGTCATCAGATAACCGCCCTGCCGCCCTCTTCAGGGTGACCCGCTCCCTCCTTCAATTGGAGGGGGGGG